CTATATGTCTATACTTATACCAGTGCTACATTGTTTGCAGTGTTTTTTTTTTTTTTCACTGCTCTCCAGCCTAGAACAAAAATAAAAAAAAAAAAAAAAAATTTTTTTTTTTTTTATATGGAAGCAGTGTGAAGAAGAGGCAAGAAGGACTCTCGGACTGTTTTTTTTTTTTTTGCCGTTATATCTCTGCATCTGGTGCTACGTCTTACCGGCATCGCCACCATGCCCAAGAGAAAGTCTGAAGAGGATGCTACGGGAGATAAAGCCAAGCTACAGAGAAGATCTGCAAGGTTGTCTGCTAAATCTGCTCCTTCACAGCCAGAGCCCAAGCCTAAAATTTTTTTTTTTTTTCTGCAAAGAAGGGAGAAAAGGTACCCAAAGAGAAAAGCTGACACTTTTTTTTTTTTTTTGAATCCTGCAGGAAATGGAGATGCCAAAACAGACCAGGCACAGAAAGCTCAGGGTGCTGGAGATGCCAAGTGAAATGTGTGCATTTTTGATAACTGTGTACTTTTGGTGACTATACAGTTTGAAATATTTTTCAACCAAGTTTTATGAAAATGCAGGCTTTGTTTTTTTTTTTTTTTTAAAGCTATGTTGTTGCCCCACAGAACACGTCGTTTTTTGAGGAAGGGACTTGTGTTACTAATAGAATGTCTCCGAAGTGGATTGATGTGGGAAAAACACCTTTCCCTTTTAGTTTTGAGAGACTTCCTCTTGGCTCCCAGGAGGAGAGATTCCCTGATGTTGACACACATAGCCACCTTGGCACAAACACCTTGTAGTGTGGAAAAACAAATTTGTTTTTATTTTTTTTTTTTTTTTCCACCTTCAGCATAGACTTAACTCCCTTAAGCCCAGACATCTCTTTTTTTTTTTTTTCGGTAATTGGTTGTCAGTGTATCAGGCAATCTGGACTTTCCAGTGACACCACTGAGATGGCATGCCTCAAAATAGCAGCGCTTCTGTTTTTAGATTGTAGATCTTTTTTTTTTTTTTTCCATTTTCATTTCACTTCCTAAAAGTCAAAGTCGGCTGGTGAAAATTTTTTTTTTTTTTTGTTAATGTGAAATGTCAACCCCCACTCTAAACTTTCCCTGTTCATTTTTTTTTTTTTTGACTTCATTGGGTTTTTTTTTTTAAATTAATTTATTATTATTATTTTTTTTTTTTTTTTAGGGTACATGTGCATAACGTGCAGGTTTGTTACATATGTATACTTTTTTTTTTTTTTTTTGCTGCACCCATCAACTCGTCAGCACCCATCAACTCGTCATTTACTTTTTTTTTTTTTTCCAATGCAATCCCTCCCCCTCCCCCCTCCCGGTGATAGGCCCCGGTTTTTTTTTTTTTTCTTCCCGAGTCCAAGTGATCTCATTGTTCAGTTCCCACCTATGAGTTTTTTTTTTTTTTGTTTGGTTTTCTGTTCTTGTGATAGTTTGCTAAGAATGAATGGTTTTTTTTTTTTTTTTTGTCCCTACAAAGGACACAAACTCATCCTTTTTTATGGCTGCATATTTTTTTTTTTTTTATATGTGCCACATTTTCTTAATCCAGTCTGTCACTGATGGACATTTTTTTTTTTTTTTTGTCTTTGCTATTGTGAATAGTGCCGCAGTAAACATACGTGTGCATTTTTTTTTTTTTTTGCATGATTTATAATCCTTTGGGTATATACCCAGTAATGGGTTTATTTTTTTTTTTTTTTTTTGGTAGTCTTTTGAAGGGGAGGGAGTTTAAAAGTTGTATACTGTTAACTGAAATACCTGCCTGCAATACCATTATTGTTTGTGAAAAATATAGTTAATAAAGTTGGATACAGTTTGGCTTGAAAAAAATTAACAAATTAAAAATGTGAAGGCAGAAATGAAAAATGTCCCTAGAAGCAATGGAAGATGAAGATGGAAGAAACCTCCCAGAAATTAAAAAGTTTTTTTTTTTTTTATAGGAGAGAAGAGATGAAAAAATTTGAGAACCAATTTGAATAATAGGGAATAGTGAAAGAGGTAAGAGAGAAAACAAAAATGTATGATAAATCATCAATGAAATTACTCAAGATAACATCTCAGAACTAAAGGATATGAATTTCCAGATTGAAAGAGCCTATTTTTTTTTTTTTTTATGGAAAGAAGTAGACCTACTGAAGGCATAGCATTACGAAATTTCAGAAAAATAAAGACAAAGAGAAGATTCTAAAGCTTTCAAGAGAAAAGAAAAAGAGGTCAAATGCAAAGGATCAGGAGTCAAAATGGCCTCAAACTACTTTCCTGCAATGCTGGATGAAAGACCATGGAAGAATGTCTTCTGGAGATGGCAGCTGAATGGGAGGGGGACTTTTAATGTTTTTTTTTTTTTTTCTTTTATACCTTTGTATTTTGAATGTTTTGAATATATGATTCATTTTTTTTTTTTTTTTATATACTTTAGAAATACTACTGCTAATGTAGCTGTGGCTACGTTTTTTAACACGTTTTTATAAACATTTCCTTATTTTATCTTCACAAAAACTTAACTAGGGACTTTTTTTTTTTTTTTGAGACTCAGAGAATCACAGAGGTTTAATCAGGTGGCAGGTGATAGAGCCAGACCTGGAAGCATTTCCTTCTTTTCTAGGTGCTGAAACAGAGCAGCAGTGGTAGTGTGTTGACAGGTGTTGGTTATTGTTGAGGTAATAGGGTAAGAGGTGAGTTGCGCCTAAATCTGGCAAAGTAAATAGCTACAGTTCTAAGGGCTGGGGCAGTGGTTTCCAGCCTCAGCTTTGTGACGCTTGTGTAAGATGTGCCACAACTAGTTTGTTGTCAATAGTCAAATATCATTTTTTTTTTTTTTCTGTTTTTAAAAACTTGCCCTATATATTGCAGTCTTAAAAATTGATTTTTTTTTTTTTTTCTTCTCCTTTTTCTTTTCTTTTCTTTTTTTTTAAAAAAATCTGATTTTTTTTTTTTTTACTCCTAGGCCCAAGTGATCCTCCCACCTCAGCCTTCAGAGTAGCTGGGATTACAGGTGTGCCCCACCACACTCAGCTGGTTTGTTTTCTTGAATAGGACAAAAACCAATAGAGTTGCAGCCGGTGCTAGAAGTGCACCTAAACTTGGATATGCCATCAGAAATTTTTTTTTTTTTTTCATAGCAAAATCATCATTGTCTGAAGGGGAAGAAGAGATTGAAATTTTTTTTTTTTTTTTGGTTTAGAGACTGTGAACTTTTCAAGAGTTTACTGGACTGGAATTTTTTTTTTTTTTTTACTGTAATGGAAAGGTTAATTGTTTTATCCTAAGATCATGCTGTAAATGATGTCAACTCCAATGCCTAGGTTTTGGGGCTCCTTCTTATTTAATTCATGGTTGTAAATGTACCTGTTATTCTATTCTTAATAGCACAAAATTCAGAACTTCAAGCAAAGACTTTTTTTTTTTTTTAAGCATTTCAGACTTCTCAGCAAAAATGGAAAGAAGAATGCAGAATTTTTTTTTTTTTTTTGGAGGAAAGAGACAATATGATCCAAAATTTCAATCGAGAATATTTTTTTTTTTTTTTAGAAAAAAGCAGACTAGAGAAAACTCTACAGGTAAAATAGTTTTTTTTTTTTTTTTTTTCTATATGTAATATTCACCGAGATGTGTTGTACATTATTTGAAGTTTTTTTTTTTTTTTTTTCTTCCTTTTTCCTTCCTCCTTCCTTCCTCCCTCCCATTTTTTCTTTTTTTTTTTTTTTTTTGCTGATCCCTTTCTTAGTATATTAATAGGTATACTTTTTGGTTTTTTTTTTTTTTTGTGGTCACTATTCAAACGTTAAAAACCAACAAAGCACTTACATGGGTGTATTGTAAGAAGGTAAGAATCTACAGCGTTTTGTGTAGCGACATGAAAATTTGAATTTTTTTTTTTTTTGGCACTGGATTTTGGTCTGAATATACAATAAACATAGAAAAATATTTTTTTTTTTTTTTGAGCTTCATTATCTATATAGAGCATGTTCTGTATAGACATGATATGTAACATATTTAACTTTTACTAAAATTGTGAGCTATTTATTCCCTCATTTTTTTGTTCCCTTTTTACTCCCTAAAGTAAAAGTGGTATAAGGTTGAAGTTGCCAGTGACTTAAAAGGTAGATTTTGAGTTGTCTATATTTGCCATTTTTTTTGAAGTAACAGTTTAAATGAAAAAAAAAAATTACATGACAAACCCAGGTGTGGTGGTACATGCCTGTAGTTCCAGCTAGTAGGGAGGTTGGAGGTGGGAGGATCACTTGAGGTCAGGAATTTGAGGCCACAGTGTACCATGATTGGGCCTATGAATAGCCACTGTACTCCAGCCTGAACAATATAGTGAGACCCTGTCTCCCCCTAAAAAACAAACAAAACAAAACAAAACAAAGAAAAAAAAACTGTGATAAAAATGTTCTTTTTTTTTTTTTTTTGTAAATGGCTTTTTTGAATTCTGGAAATGTGTCTTTACTAAAAGTTTTTTTTTTTTTTGCATTTACAAACTGTAAAAGTTTTTGCACAGTCGTTCCCAGATGTTTTTTTTTTTTTTTAATTTACTTTTGATTTCTTCCACATCAGTGGTCATAGTTTGTCTCTTTTTTTTTTTTTTGTATTGCTAGACCCTGGAACACTGGCTGGCATGCAGAAGGGCTCCTTTTTTTTTTTTTTGGGGGAGGTTTTGGTGGTAGTTGATATTGCAAGTCCTTGGATGGGTTTTTTTTTTTTTTCCCACATACCATGTTTTGGAGTTATGTGGAGAGGAGGGTGATGGTGGTAGCATTTCTTCAGCCAATCAGCTTGCACCTCAAGGTAGAAGATTTTGATCTGATCTCAGTTAGCTACTTAGGAGAACTGTGCTTTGATTTTAGGCTATTGGCTTTAAACTAATCTTTTTTTTTTTTTTTGGGACAGTTTGGAGTTGAATTTGAGTCACTATTTAGCCCTTGGGGTTTTTTTTTTTTTTAGGCTCTTTATGAAAGCTTTCTATAAGGCAGGAGGGTAATATTTGTTTTTTTTTTTTTTGCTCCCATTATATGGACATGAGAGACTTTCTTTCTCATGCTTGTATTTTTTTTTTTTTTTTTTCTGTTAATGGGAACTCGATTTTAAACCCTGTAGTTAGAAAATTTTTTTTTTTTTTAAATTGCATTTTATGTTTTTAGGATATTGAACCAAATTAGATCTTGCAAATGTAGTACACCTTGGAAAACCCAAAAGGAAATGTTTTTTTTCAAGTATTGTTTATTTTTTTTTTTTTTAGTTACAGCCCGTACTTAAATTTTTTGTTTTTTGCTTTTCACATTTTTAACATTCTAGAGTTTCCTTATCCTAATTTGTTGCACAAAATTCTTTTCTTCGTCCCTTTTTTTTTTTTTTAAATACATTGTTCTGTGTCAAATTTATATATAAATTATCAGGGATCATCCAGACATTTTGATCACAGGTAGCTATTTCCATATTGAATGGAATTTACTTTGTTTTTTTTTTTTTTTTTATATCATGATATCATATATTGATATTTTGTTCAAACCTCTGAAGTTTTTTTTTTTTTTTAAATATATGCCTATATAAACAGGTATATACAGCCTGTTGCTTATATTTTTTTTTTTTTTGGTAATAGGTAAATATATGCCTATATAAACAAGGAATAACCTGTTTTTTTTTTTTTTTTAGCTTCTTACTCAGATCTACATTCTGATGATCAAATTATAGTTTTTTTTTTTTTTTTTTTTTTTTTTTTTGAGACGGAGTCTCGCTCTGTCGCTCAGGCTGAAGTGCAGTGGCCGGATCTCAGCTCACTGCAGCCTCCGCCTCCTGGGTTTACGCCATTCTCCTGCCTCAGCCTCCCAAGTAGCTGGGACTACAGGCGCCCGCCACCTCGCCCGGCTAGTTTTTTTTTTTTTTTTTTAGTAGAGACGGGGTTTCACCGTGTTAGCCAGGATGGTCTCGATCTTTTTTTTTTTTTTTCCGCCCGTCTCGGCCTCCCAAAGTGCTGGGATTACAGGCTTGAGCCACCGTACCCGGCCTTATTAATGATTTTAACATGAATTATGATGAGTTTTAACATCTATAGGTAAGGAGAGCCTCTTTGTACATTTAAACTGGGGATGAAGGAAGAAAGATAACTTTTTTTTTTTTTTTTTTAAAGCAAAATTTTATTTATATAAAGGAAGCATTGGAAAAACATCAACAGGAGAAGAATGAGATGGAGTCTCATATCAGGGAGACAGCATTGGAAGAGTTTAGATTTTTTTTTTTTTTATGGGAAGCAGAAAGAAGAGAATTACAATTTATAGTACAGGTATTTTTTTTTTTTTTTTTCAGTTCCTTAAATACATATTTTTAATGCTGATGATATTCAAAATTACATTAGTGGGATAATTGACTTGCTCAAAGGGAAAATAATTTCTAGTTTTGATTCTGGTTTTTTTTTTTTTTTTTGCTGTTACATGACAATAGGGCAACTATTACTAACAGATACCATTTTTTTTTTTTTTGCATACATTATGTGATTTTTAAGAAGGATGTATATATATTTGGTATTTTTTTTTTTTTTTTTAAAATGTGAGACTAATAGCTGTTTTGAATAGGATAAAGAAATAGAGTAATAGCATTCTGGATGTTAAAGAATCCTTACAAATCATATAATGTAGTAATTTTTTTTTTTTTTTTTTGAAGTACAAATTCTTAATTATCCTGTATTCCTCCATCCCTGAAACTTTTTTTTTTTTTTAGGCTTCTGTAGTCCAATTTGAAAATTACTGATTACATCTAATCCCCTTTATACGTGAGCAGATGGAGATTTGGAAGTTACTGACTCAGGTTATAGGCTGAATGTTTTTTTTTTTTTTAGACTACAGCTCTCTGGATTCTCACTCCAGTGTACTTTGCATTTTTTTTTTTTTTTTTTTGTATTTATTTTGAAGGAGAGGTAGGAGAAACTCAAACTATTGTGTTTTTTTTTTTTTTAAAGGAAATTTGTGAAGTTAATCCTCTTTAAGAAAAAAATCCATGTTTTTTTTTTTTTTAAATTTCAAAGACATTTTCATCACTTCTTCTAATTATTTTGTGATAACACAATGTGTTTTATGTAATTTTTCTACACAAAATGACAAATTGAAATAACCTTTATTTTTTTTTTTTTTTTATGCATTTTTCACAAGAATGAAAAATACCCACATATAATACGTTTTTTTTTTTTTTTTTGTCACAAACAACTTTGCAACACACAAGTTGACCAAAAATATGCATTTTTTTTTTTTTTCTTAATTTTTTTAAGAGTAAAAGCTGGTAGTGAACAGTGGAAATACTGAATTTGTTGTATATGTCAGTATTGAAAATACCAATGAAACCACAGTTTTCCCAAACTTTTTTTTTTTTTTCAGTGCTTTTCTTCCCAGTCACCTCTTCTGTAGAATCTGGAAGGATTTTTTTTTTTTTTTTTAGACCTCTTGTATTCTGTTTGTAGTTTGTGTAGTTAATTAGTTTTTTTTTTTTTTTGCTCGTTCATTCATTCTTTAAGTACTTACTGAGTTACTGCTCTGGTTTTTTTTTTTTTTAAACTGATTAAGACCTGGTTTCTGTCCTGGAAGATATTTCAATGCTTTTTTTTTTTTTTAGAGTAAATATTATGTGATAAAATTTTAAATAAAATGCTGTAGTACCACAAAAGAGAAGTTGATTAGCTATCTAGGAGACTGAGGAAGACTTTGCAGAGCACATTTTTTTTTTTTTTTTGATAAATGTCTTAAAGCTACTTGAAATAAACAAGCCAAATAAAGTTTTTTTTTTTTTTCCTTTTATTTCTAAACACTCAGCCAGAGGTCTGAATTTATAAAATTTTTTTTTTTTTTTTGTGTATAAATATGTGGATGATGTGATTTTGGTCTAGTTTCTTGATTTTTTTTTTTTTTCCTAAATGAAACATAGTGGTTATACCAAAGTTTATATATGAAGTATTTTTTTTTTTTTTAATTAGGCATTTGTCTTTCGTTATGATGTGTACAGAAAAATGCAGGAATATGCTCCCTGGTTACTACGGATAGTATCTTCCTTTGCTGCTTTTGTAAGGTAAATTTTATTGTATTTTGTAACTAGAATGTTTAGAACTCTGTTTCTCAATTACTTGTCTTTTTTTTTTTTTTTTTTTAAATAGTTTTTCCTTTTATAAATCAATCTTTTTTTTTTTTTTTTGGGATGGGGTCTTCCTTTGTCACCCAGGCTGGAGTGCAGTGGCGCAGTCTCGGCTCACTGCCAGCTCCACCTCCTGGGTTCATGCTGTTTTCCTGCCTCAGCCTCCCAAGTAGCTGGGACTACAGGCGCCTGCTACCACGCCCGGCTAGTTTTTTTGTGTTTTTAGTAGAGACGGGGTTTCACTCTGTTAGCCAGGATGGTCTCGAACTCCTGACCTTGTGATCCGCTCACCTCGGCCTCCCAAAGTGCTGGGATTACAGGCGTGAGCCACCATGCTCGGCCATAAATCAATCTTATTTTTTTTTTTTTTCTTTGTGTTAAAAAAAAACGTTTTTTAAAAACAACCTGAGGGATATTTTTTTTTTTTTTTCTCTTTTGGCTGTTGATGGGTTCAGCTTTACATACTATAATTAGTTTTTTTTTTTTTTTAGTGTTCTCTTTGTGTAGCTCTCTAAGAGAATTCAGTTTTTTAATTTTTTTTTTTTTTTTAAACCTTCTCAGTGAAACCTCATCTTTAATAGACAAAACTTGTTTTTTTTTTTTTTTCATCTGGGCTTTAGAATTCAGACCCACTATAAAAAGAAAACCTCAATTTTATGCCATGTTCTTTTTCTTTCTCGGGGATTGGAGCACTAAATAGAGGTGTCCTTTTTTTTTTTTTTTTCGTGAGTGAATTCTTATTGGTGTTATCTAAAAAGTTACGTCATTTTTTTTTTTTTTTTTTCATTTCTTTTTTTTTTTGAGACAGAATCTCTCTCTCTGTTGTCCAGGCTGGAGTGCAGTGATGCGATCTCAGCTCACTGCACTCTCTGCCTCCTGGGTTGAAGCGATTCTCCTGCCTCAGTCTCCTGAGTAGCGGGGATTATAGGCATGTACCACCACGCCCTTTTTTTTTTTTTTTTTTTAGTAGAGAGGGGCTTTGCCATGTTGGCAAGGCTGGTTTCATTTTTTTTTTTTTTGGTGATCCGCCCACCTTGGCCTCCCAAAGTGCTGGGATTACAGGCTTTTTTTTTTTTTTCCAGCCTTATTTAATTTTTAAATTATTTATTTATTTTTATTTTATTTTTTTTTTTTTTTAGATGGGGTCTTGCTCTGTCGCCCAGACTGGAGTGCAGTGGCATGTTTTTTTTTTTTTTCAATCTCCACCTCCTGGGTTCACGCCATTCTCCTGCCTCAGCCTCTTTTTTTTTTTTTTCTACAGGCGCCCGCCACCACGCCCGGCTAATTTTTTTTTGTATTTTTATTAGAGACGGGGTTTCACTGTGTTAGCCAGGATGGTCTCGATCTCCTGACCTTGTGATCCGCCTGCCTCGGCCTCCCAAAGTGCTGGGATTTATTTTAAGTTTAGGGGTACGTGTGCAGGATGTGCAGGTTAGTTACATAGGTACACATGTGCCATGGTAGTTTGCTGCACCTGTCAACCTATCACCTATGTATTAAGCTCAGCATGCATAGCTATTTTTCCTAATCCTCTCCTTCCCCTCACTCTACCCCTGACAGGCCCCAGTGTGTGTTGTTCCCCACCCTGTGTCCATGTGTTCTCATTGTTCAGTTCCCACTTACAAGTGAGAACATGGGGTGTTTGGTTTTCTGTTTTTTTTTTTTTTTGCTGAGGATAATGGCTTCCAGCTCTATCCGTCTCTGCAAAAGACATTTTTTTTTTTTTTTATGGCTGCATAGTATTCTATGGTATATATACGGCACATTTTCTTTTTTTTTTTTTTTTTCGGTGGGCGTTTGGGTTGATTCTATCTCTTTGCTATTGTGAATATTTTTTTTTTTTTTATACATGTGCATGTGTCTTTACAGTAGAATGATTTATATTCCTTTGGGTATATACCTAGTAACGTGATTGCTGGGTCAAATGGTATTTCTGGTTCTAGGTCTTTTTTTTTTTTTTTTTCGGTCTTCCACAGTGGTTGAATTAATTTACATTCCCACCAACACTGTGAAAGCATTCCTCTTTCACTGCAACCTCGCCAGCATCTGTTGTTTCTTGGTTTTTTAATAATTGCCATTCTGACTGGCCTGAGATGGTATCTCATTGTGATTTTTGACTTGCATTTCTCTGATGATCAGTGATGTTGAGCTTTTTTTCATGTTTGTTGGCTGCATGAATATCTTTTTTTTTTTTTTTTTTCTGTTCATGTCCTTTACCCACTTTTTGATGGGGTGGTTTGTTTTTTTTTTTTTTTTTTATTTAATTTCCTTGTAGATTCTGGGTGTTAGACCTTTGTCAGACGTTTTTTTTTTTTTTATTTTCTCCCATTTTGTAGGTGGCCTGTTTGCTCTGATGATAGTTTATTTTGCTGTGCAGAAGCCCTTGAGTTTTTAATTAGATCCCATTTGTCAATTTTTGCGTCTGTTGCAATTGCTTATGGCGATTTCGTCATGGAATCTTTGTCCTGCCACAAGCTTTTTTTTTTTTTTTTTTGCAATGGTAAAGCTTTGTTTCTAAACTATCATGTTCCTCCTTTTTTTTTTTTTTTTTTTATTTCACTGTATACTTTATCAGTGGGATTGAAAACATTTAGAAGATGAATATATATGTTTTCATATTTATTTCATATCCAAAATTCTATACCTCAACCAGGGAATTTTTTTTTTTTTTCCTTATTCATTGACTAAGTTTGGTGTATGTATCTAGTGATTGAAGTATGGGGGAGTTTGTGATGGTATGGGAAGTGTAGCTTGAAAATAATTCCATGAACTAAAGAAAGAGGAGAAAGAGCAGGGAGGCAGTGAAGAAAGTTATCAGACCAGCCTTAGTAGGCATGGTCTGAGAGGCCTTAAGACAATCTAGGGATTGGGGTGCAACATATCAAAAGCTGACTTTTTTTTTTTTTTTGTGATGTAGTGACAACTTGGAGGAAGTTACGTGAAACGAAAGTGTTTTTAGGAATATTCATATAACAGAATACTATGCAAATACACAGAAATAAGATATCAACTTTTTTTTTTTTTTGCAAAATATTAGGAATATAATTTTATTTTGTTTTATTACTTTCTATTTTTGAGACAAGGTCTCGCTCTGTTGCCCAGGTTGGAGTGCAGCGGGACTATCACAGCTCACTGCAGCCTTTCCCTACCTTAGCCTCCTGTGTATCT